TGAGTTTCAAAACATCTTTGCTTCCTGCAAAGAATGTTTGCTTCACAATTGGCTTTTGTCTTCTTGAAGGAGGTGATGTTACCTTGCAGCCTTACTCCCGAGTCGCCCGTGCTGTTGCAGTTGCTCTTTCTTGTGAGCAATTCTGCGCGCACGCGCACTTGGCACAGGCTCCTCAGGAACCTCCTCATCACTGCTACCAGCCCCCACAATCTCTGAAGGCAGCAGTCCACTCCCTAATGGTCCTGGCCCCTCATCTGAATCCTTGCTCTCCTCAGCCATCCGCACCTGCTGCCAGCTAACCACAACAAAATGGAGCCTGGGAGGGCTGTGCATGGCCTTCCTGAACTCCATTTTCACTAGCAGAGGGCCCAGGGGGGCCCCACGGGCCAAATCTAAGCACCCCATGGGCTGGATGTGGCCCACGGACCTTGAATTTAACACCCCTGTTCTAAATACACTTATCTAAATACAAGTTTAACTTTGTATAATTGCTTTTCTGTAGATCTAATGCCCCTTTTGAGGTGTTGTTCTTTTCTTCAGCAATATTGATGGTACAGAGGCAGCCACTATGCATATTCAATATAAATTCTGCAATATTAACACCAGAGCAGAAGGAGGACCATACTAGAATAAATTTGATTCGGGGTATAATTCCATACTTAAATATGGTGTTGCTTGCTGTTTTTAAAAATCAAGCCTTTTTTGTGCCCGGGGAAGAAAACGTGTGATGCCGCGGTAACAAAAAACTGGTGCCTCGGGATGCCAAGACAAGATTCCGGGTTCGAGAAGAAAATTCGGGAGGCAATTTTTTTTCAATCCCAAATCCAAAAACGGATACCAGGATGAGATTTGGGGTAGAATTCCATACTTAAAAACGGTATTGCTTGCTGTATTTAAAAATCAAGCCTTTTGGTGCCTGAAGAAGAAAACGCGTGATGCCGCGATCAGAACAACTGGTGCCTGGGGAGGCAAATTTTTTTTTGATGCCAAATGCTAAAACGGATGCCAGGACGAGATTCGGGGTATAATTCGATGTTCTGTCCCACCTGTATCCACAGGTGAGAATCTCGTTACAGAGTTCAAAATACTTTATGCAAACAAAACCAGAGACAGAAGATTCAACTGCTCTGTTTTCACAGTCCTTTGGCAATCCTCCTAGAATCTGTCTGGCAATTCTGTATAGTTCGTAAATCACAATGCTGTAGTCAGACGCACTTCTTTCCAAAGCAATATCCACTTCGTTTCCAGCAAAGATTACGAACTAGTACACTCCCTTATATCCTCTGAGAGGGGGCGTGTCAGTCTCATTAATTAATCCTTTGCTGGACATCTCTTTTCTAATTGAGATTGGTGTCTCAATCTTCTCCTAGTCCTGGCATCCAGCCAGCATCCGGCAGTTTCCTCACCGCTTGAAGCCTCTGACACACTTTCCTGATTAACAGTTAACACCTGAGATGAAATCAGGGAAGTAGATTCAGGGGAGAGAGTTGACTCTGAAACCTCCAATAAATCAGGCTCATATCTCAGATCCAACTCCTCTCCCTCTACTTGACTCCCCTCTAAGTCACTTAATAATGCAGGCTCGAATCTCATTGCTAGATCTTCTTCATCGCTCAAACCCACATCTGCTGACTGACCAGGTTCAAATCTCGGAGTCACAACAAATCCATACTTAAAAAAGGTATTGTTTGCTGTTTTTAAAAATCAACCTTTTTGGTGCCTGAAGAAGAAATGCCGTGGTCAGAATGCCACGGTCAGAAAAACTGGTGCCTGGGGAGGCAAAAAAATTTTTATGCCAAATGCTAAAACGGATGCCAGGATGAGATTCGGGGTATAATTCCATACTTAAATATGGTGTTGCTTGCTGTTTTTAAAAATCAAGCTTTTTGGTGCCAGAAGAAGAAAACACGTGATGCTGTGGTCAGAAAAACTAGTGCCTGGGGAGGCAAATTTTTTTGATGCCAAATGCTAAAACAGATGCCAGGATGAGATTCGGGGTATAATTCCATACTTAAACATGGTGTTGCTTGCTGTTTTTAAAAATCAAGCCTTTTTGGGCCCGAGGAAGAAAACGTGTGATGCCTCGGTAACAAAAAACTGGTGCCTCGGGATGCCAGGACGAGATTCAGGGTCCGGGATGAAAACTCAGGAGGCAATTTTTTTTTATCCCAAATACAAAAACAGAACAACTGGTGCCTGGAAAGGCAAAAAATTTTTGATGCCAAATACTAAAACGGAAGCCAGGACGAGATTCGAGGTATAATTCCATACTTAAAAAAGGTATTGCTTGCTATTTTTAAAAATCAAGCTTTTTGGTGCCTGAAAAAGAAAACTCGTGATGCCATGGTCAGAAAAACTGGTGCCTGGGGACGCAATTTTTTTTGTATCCCAAATGCTAAAACGGATACCAGGATGAGATTCAGGGTAGAATTCCATACTTAAATATGGTGTTCCTTGTTGTTTTAAAAAATCAAGCCATTTTTCTGCCCGGGAAAGAAAACGTGTGATGCCGCAGTAAGAAAAAATTGGTGCCTCGGAATACCACGACAAGATTCAGGGTTTGGGAAGAAAATTCGGGAGGCAATTTCTTTTTGATCCCAAATCCAAAAACGGATACCAGGTCAGAAAAACTGGTGCCTGGGGAGGCAAATTTTTTTTGTTGCCAAATGCTAAAACAGATGCCAGGACAAGATTCGGGGTGGAATTCCATACTTAAAAATGGTATTGCTTGCTGTTTTTAAAAATCAAGCCTTTTGCTTCCAGAAGAAGAAAACGCGTGATCCCGCGGTCAGAAAAACTGGTGCCTGGAAAGGCAAAAAATTTTTTATGCCAAATGCTAAAACGGATGCCAGGATGAGATTTGGGGTAGAATTCCATACTTAAAAATGGTATTGCTTGCTGTTTTTAAAAATCAAGCTTTTTGGTGCCTGAAGAAGAAAACGCGTGATCCCGCGGTCAGAAAGACTGGTGCCTGGGGAGGCAACTTTTTTTTATCCCAAATGCTAAAACGGATGCAAGGATGTGATTCGGGGTAGAATTCCATACTTAAAAATGGTATTGCTTGCTGTTTTTAAAAATCAAGCTTTTTGGTGCCTGAAGAAGAAAACGCGTGATCCCGCGGTCAGAAAAACTTGTGCCTGGGAAGGCAAAAATTTTTTGATGCCAAATGCTAAAACGGATGCCAGGACGAGATTCGGGGTAGAATTCCATACTTAAAAATGGTATTGCTTGCTGTTTTTAAAAATCAAGCTTTTTGGTGCCTGAAGAAGAAAACCGTGCCTGGGGAGGAAAAAAATTTTTGATCCCAAATGGAAAAATAGATACAAGGACAAAATTCAGGGTATAATTCCATGCTTAAAAATGGTATTGCTTGCTGTTTT